CTCTTGTACAGTAGTTCACTACCCGTTTATGGAATTAGTGCTGTATCAGTATTGTACGTCACGTTGAAATAATTGGGGATTCAATCACAATTGTACTTTTTTCACATACACGGTCCGTGGCCAATTCATGGTTATAGCATTCGTTGTATAAGCGAAATGTGTCCGGTTCGAGTCCTGGCCTGAGACGTGGCGAAAGAATTTAGAATTAGGTTTCAATAATATTACACTGTATATGAGAACAGTCTGTTAACTGTTACCTCTCGGTGCCATCTGCTGCCAGCAGTTCGACGACCATGGATCTCCATCCCTCTCAATCTTCAGCTCTTCTCACACATTCTCCATACTGTATCCAAGAGTAAAATCCTTGATGATGCTCATCTAGTTTGTTCTTGACCTTCCTCTCCGTCTTTAACATTCTAATTTCCTTTCCAAAGGTCTCTTTGTACTACATTTCTTCTTATGATGTGAACAAAGTACTTTATTTTTCTCTTCTTTATTGCCATTAGAAGTTGTTGATGAAAGCAGATATTTTTTTATCTATGCCTTGTCTGAATATTTCTAAATAATCTAGGCCTAATCAAAGAAACACTTTTTTTAGCCTTAAATCGCTCTTTGTTGCTGCTTTCTCTAATTGCCTAGAAAATTAAGCCTACATTATTGGAGGATGAATGCATCCTTCATTCCATATCAATTAACGATGTATACGCTGATATACAAAAGTACACTGTACTGTGAAGCAGTGAAATTCCTATGAGAGGTTCTCCTTTCTATTTATTTTTTAATGAAAAATACAAATAACGTAATATTCTCATGCAAGATTGATGACACTTAAAAGGGTTCGGATAGACAATTTCGAAAGTGGAAAAAAAAGCGTAAACCTACATTGGATTATTAACCGTTGGCAATATTAACCTATATACGGACAATTTCGTAGAAAATTGGGTTTGGTATTTTTAGACCTGATGCATTTTTGCGACTTTTTTTTCTTGAGAACACGTTTTACGAAAATGAACGAAACAAACGCACACGTGAGCTATACACTTTAATCATGGTACACAAGCATAAAATGAGTAATACCAACCTACTTCAAAATGTGTACTCATTGTTGAATACAACGAATGGAAAACACATACATATATATGTACATATATATACGGTATATGTACACACACACACATACACACACACATATATATATATATATATATATATATATATATATATATACATATATATATGTATGTATATATATAATTAATTAGTTACCGTACTTGTTTAAACTAGCCTTTTAATAAAATATAGCATTTATAAGATTCATTTCCTATGAAAGCCGATATGACTTTCGATACCTTTAAACGTTGGGACTTGAGTGATTAAATAATATAAAATATTCTATATAAATATGTACATTTTTTTTTATTAAGGTGCATTCACGCCGTATCCGAATGTTTGCATGAAAGCCTACAGAACCGATCAGAAAATCGAATCATGGACAAGGACAGGGAAACTGGCCGTCAGTGCATCGCGTAAAGGCGGTCTGAATTTCGGTTCGGATACGATGTGAATGTATCTTTAAGCTGTACAATATACGTAACATGCACTCTGAGACATTTCGCAACCTTACGAAAACGATAACAAATACGAATACGTCATCAGAATTATCGTCATTTGTGCCTAAAACATTCTTGGCAACATATACGAGCTGAATATGATCGTTTACTCATGTAAAGGCTGAATAGCCTACGTTGTGACAGGTAGGCTACTATTAGGGGATGGATTGACTAAATGTGTGATGACGTAACCGATATTCGTTATCGTAAGCATGCAAAACCTCCTTATTATTTTCAAGACTACACAACTACGAAAATTCAGCGATTTCGATTTTGCAGGCACTTACAATACCGTACTTTATGCCTAATGCGTTTATCAAATTCCACAAGCAAGCCCACTGTTCGGCCCAATGTGGAAGAACGATAGACCTACAGGTGAATGTTTCTTTGTCGATAAAATTTATACACTATTGCACTTGTTTTAACGTACTGGCAACCAGTGTTAACGTAAAATAATTCAGATTTACCAAAATACAAAATCTATTTTCCTAGAATTTGTAAAAAAAAATCACCAAAAAGAATATAAATAAAATCAATGTCCTGTAGTAATTCTTGGGTCGGCTAACATGTTTTAGACCCCGAACGTTCGCGAGTACAGTAAAGCCGATTACTCACTGCGTCGTACGGTCGTGCGACCGTCGCACGACGAATCCACATTTGCTTCCGGCGAGCGATAGACGACGCAACGCCGTCTTCTGATTGTCAGTGGCAATCTGATCGGATCCTCATTAAAAAGACGATCAGTTGGGTCCGCGTCTTCGCGTGCGTTCTTCATCGCGTTGCCGTCGCGTCGCCGTCGCACGCAGTGAGTAGGCCTAACCTCCCTGCTTAATACATCACTAGTAAGCAAATAAGAAATAGTTCCGTATGTGGATTGTTTAAAAATGCAACCACCACACAAACTCAGCTGTATGCTCCAATGATAATTTGCATTGTTTGGAAATGTTTGATTGAATGTATGTTCAAAGAGTATAGAACTGCAAAGGCCCAACTCCAGGGGTTTCGTTAAAACGTAATCATATAATTTTCAAAAAGTACCACCAGGAACTAGAGGACGAATTATTAATAGCGTGTGGATACTCCAAAGACTAACAAAATAATGGATAAATATTTCAGTCATTATGAACATAAGCCTACATAAGATATATTATGATTGCTTTAATGATTATCGTTATTCAACCTGTTTCCATCCTTAAGATATTATTTACTTACAGAGAAAAAATAGTATATAGGCCAAAGTTCAATTCAACTGTAATGTAATATGCCAGTGAAAAAAAATGTTTCCAGTTCCAGTCTGTCCTGTTTTATATCTAGATTCTCATACTGTAATCTTTTTCAATCATTCTTAAAAAGAAACTGAATGATGCAAGTCAAATGTTAAGGCAATTAAGACTGGAATTAATGAGAACATTTGAATAAAATTCAGCTAATTGCGTGTTAACGAGCAGAATTGTGTGGGTTTAAATTGTAAGACACCATCTGTTATTTAAAAAAAACGCATCGATGTATCCCTCTGGGAAGATTCTTGTGCGACGAGCGTGTATTGATCTGCAAGCAATAATATGATCTGCAATATTCATCTTAGCACTTGCCACTGATGAAGTACTACTGTTGTCAGAAATCTGGTTCAATTTATGGCTATTAACTTACGTTTACATTTACCTTTTGCTATATGTATTTTTTTTAATCGAGATGTAATTCTATTCGCTATGGTTTTTTTTATTATTAAAAAAGTATATGATGAAGCGTGAACGTCAATGCATTTGTGAGTCAGGGAAAGAGCAAATGGGAAAGGGCAGACGGCTGGCCCATTTTTTTTTTTTTTTTTGAAAATTGAAAAAAAAAAACAAAGAGAAAGCTGTATTCAGTTTAAATCGGAGTGTGCCCTTTCTGGTCATCTAGACGACGTGCCATAACCATTAAATTTTGTATCCGAGCCCTAATCATGATGGGAATGGAATTAGACATTTTATATGTGAAAGCACCTCCCTGCCCCCCCTCCCCTTTGTTTGGAATTCCTGGATCCACCAGTGTGAGTAATCAGTTGAGGTCTGGAAATCAAATTGTTAACTGTGTGACAAAGTAAAGATGTTTGAATAATGTGATATATATTTGAAATTCGGTTAAAAAGTATGACAATGCAAGCAGCGTTCTGAAGTTCTGAAGATGTTAGTTGTCAGTGGCCGAGAACCAATTGACCTAAAGTTACAGGATTCAAGTTTGGATGAGATCAAGGCAAACGAAAGAACAGTAACTTGATGAAAAATATACTGTACGTTTTATTCGTAGAATGCACGGTTGATAAGACATTGTCAGGTAAATAATACAGTATGTTTACGCTAAAGACAATGCAATTGTCAACGCGTAGGATAATCACACATTTCAGTGATAGGCCTATATATCCTCTTTAGGTACTCTGGAATATGGACTGCCAGCGCAGGTTGTTGAGGTCATCATAGTCATAGGAGCCAAACGGTAATTATTCCCGCGCTGGGCAGAATCTTCCAGTTCGTCCCGATTGCCACGGCGACTTCTCAAGCGCGGACAGGTTGTAACTGATTTGTACTTCTTACGGATGTAACTATCATTAACGGAAATATCCGCTTGATCATTCTTAGCGCAAGGCCTAGCATGTTGATAACTCTTCCGGAAATTATCACTGAGGAAGCCGTAGAGGATTGGATTGGCGCAGCTATTGATGTAACTGAGTATCATTGTACCATCTAAGAGAATTTTGAAGAGTTTATAATCACTTGTTAAACTTTGATATTGAAACGCTATAAATGCACGCAGTATATAAAACGGCGACCAACACAATACAAATACAACAACTATGATCATCACCATATTGGTGACCTTTCTGTTCTTTTTGCTTTTTCCTGTGCGAGCGGTGACTTGCTTCAGCCTCACAAGTAGCAATATGTAACTAACCATGATGACCACAAGGGGTATTAATAATCCCAATGATAGCGTATATAGATACATAGCCATTGTCCATGTTTCTGTGTTGCCGAATCGTGTGAAATCAAAATAACAACCTGAGGTATCGTGTTTTATGTGTATGATCATTGGTAGTACAGAACACACTGATATAATCCAAATTCCGATGCAAATACCAACAACAATTGGAAATCTTCTATATCGTCCGGCTTGAGCTGGATGGCAGACGGCAATGTAGCGATCCACGCTCATCGCAGTCAGTGTATACACACTCGTGAATTGGTTGAAAATGTCGATTGACATGATTATGAAACAAGTGACAGTACCAAATTCCCAAGCATCTTTTAATAAACTGACACCAAATATTGGCAAGACAAGAACAAAAATTTCGTCAGCAATAGCAAGGTTTAAAATGTAACAATTAGTGACGGTCTGCATACGAGCAAATCGCAGGATGACGTATATTACCAATCCATTACCAAACACACCAACTGCGGCGATGAAAATACATATAGTGAACAAAAAATATGTCCACCTGATATAAAAAATGTCGTACAAATCTCCGTTAGTGCCATTAGCAGAGATGTTGTCTGTCGTTAAAGCCATTGCTAAAATGCCGAGGCGGGCACAAAATCGTAATTGCACAACTTGGTCCAAGTTTACGCCCTTATATTTTTAAATCTATAAATGACAGGGCCTTCAAATAGCAAGACTGCGACTTGATATTACGGTATTTATGGCAACTGTTCTATTGATCTTGAATTTAATTGTTGGTTACTGTACATTGAAGATTTATTGTCCATTGAGTTCAAACCTAAAAGAAAGAAGAAAAAATAAAAAGAAAAGTTATAAGGTGTTCCTTTATTCTTTCTAATTTTAGCCGTTGTAACATTTTGAATTAGGAAGTTTTCGAATCACAACGTAATTAGCGGCTATAACATTTTGAAATGGGAACTTGTCGAAATCACAACGCAAACGTTACAATTTACTAAGTTGGCTACACCATTTCAAAGCTTACATAATTAAACAGTATTATTATAGGAAACTGTTTTTGTATTTACATAGAACGTTAATAATGCAATTGCAAATAGCGTAGTCAGTTCGGTAGGCCTTGCTCGTTGATGATAGTTTATTGATTACAATAATAGCACTTGTTTAAAATTAAATATACACTTATTAATTGTACTGTATATTTTTAGCAGTTTGGCTCAGTCGGCTATACAGGTGGTAGTCAATGTTTGTGCAGTGCACCGTAGGGATCCCTGGACCCTAGTTCAATTCTATTAGCTGCTCTAGAGCATTGTGCTTTGCATGAGGGGTGTAAAGATATGTTTTAATCCTGAATAAATATGTTTGAAATTAAACAAAATAAATAAATAAATAAGTACAAGTTACGATAGGGCACTCTCTTTCAGATGAGACGTTTAAGCTGTTTGTCCCGTGTGCAATATGGCTCTTGAGAACGTTAAAACGCAACACTTCGGAAAAAAGAATTATCTACAATGACAATATTAGAAATAATTACCGGTATATTTTGAAAAAAGCAAAATACGTTGAATGCGATCAACAATATTTGGTCCGCCCTCTAGAAATATGGTATTTTCAAGTAAAAGTAGTTTCTGGTACGCCATTTTCCCGACGGTTGATATTCGTAAATTCAAAAGCACAAGGGAAACTCTCCGTACATGGACATACAAACTAACCATAGTACTGAGCATTGGTAGCGCTACTAATATGAAATAGGTAGTTGAAGCCAATTGAGCTTTTATACTTGACTGAATCTTCCCCCAAACGGTTGTCATTGATAATAGAATATAATTGTCTCGTCTTTAACTTTTACTACAGGCACATCGTTTCAAACCTATTAAATTGATGTACTTCCCTAATCTATTAGAAGTAAATTAGGTGCTTTACGAAGATCGTAGAGTCAGTTGGTTAGCAATTCTACTTCGAATCTGGTTTGATCGGTGCTGTGAGCGTTATGTGTTTCCATAATTATCCTCTTACAGGTCATCTGATTGTAAGTAGGTAAAGTGTTATAAGATGTGATCGACAAGGATTAGGATATAGCCAGGGGTTTGTAAATACGGAATAAGTTTAACCAAGTTTAACCTAATAAAGAGCTTCTTATTTTAGAAATTCCACATACTCAATTTAATAAAAAAAAATCTTGTTTTCAACACATGCCTATTTATGTATCACAGGACAGGAGTTGAGCCAGCAGCAATTACAAGAGAAAACCCGGTATTCATTTGGTTCTCTTGAGAGGGATAGAAAAAAAAAGAAGAAACGAGAGACTTCAAGGGACAAAATCCTCTCTGATGTTCTCTCTTGTTGTAAAATTACGAAATACAGGTATCTGCATAATACGAAAAATATCAGAAACACGAAATAGAACTCTCCACCGCAAAAAATGTGCTAGTGTATAGCTTTGCAGTCTGTACTTTGGTGTCTACATTTCATTGCACATGAATATTTGTCATACACAATAAAATATATAATAGGCCTAATAAATTTAGGCACTGAAAATATATCAGTTATTGGCAGCCATTGACTAGAATATCTAGTTGGCATATTACATCTCATGATATTTAGTATTTACATAATACTGTAAGAAAACTTTGCTTAATTAAGACAAATGTTTACATCAGAAAGAATATCCAAAATGTATACGGATACCCGATATTATTGTTGCTTTAACTAGGCCTATAACAGACTGCATGGCAAGCCTGCTCATGACTGACGCTGCATGTCTTAAACTGCGGGGG